TAATATGTTTGAAAATTAGTCTTCACTATTGCTGAATTTTAAGCGCCGATGAATACGTGGGAAGGAAGTCGCAATATAAATTTTAAGTCAAAGTCAATTTTGTTATCAAAGAATTGCAGGGCAAAACACAGGAGCGTAGGTCATGCAGGAGAAGCCTGATTTATTTCAGTTTCTTCTAAATGACGGGATGTTTGTCGTCTGTTTCTCGGGTTAAGTAAAATCATTCGTCACTCGTGCGCTGGGACGTAGACGTCCTTCGGCCCCCGGCCAAACTCTAAAGCACCCGAAATCAAACGGTGGAAGATCGATCGTTCCGAAAGGCGAGACTACGTCTACAAACCATCCCTGCTGCATCGCAGACGTTCTTAGGGCTTCGTCACGCGTTCCTGCCCCACCAGTACCCTATTTGAGGCCCCGTCCACACGTATCCGAATAATTTTGAACCTGCAACGTTTCCTCTCCGGATACAGCTACCGTTCACACGTATCCATCCATTGAATCCGGCATACGAATCCGCAAATTTTTAAATCCGCTCTCCAGAGTGGAAATTTTTGAATACGCTACGATTCCGGAATCGTGGGGACGTTAAATCCGGATTTTTTTTAATCCGGTGACGTAACAATATCGAGCCCAGTTCTTTACCCTAGTGTACTATTATCGCTTCTCTACTTAGCTTCTTGGACTTCAGTTTCAAGTCTTATAACTGCACGTGTGTGCAGTTAAACCTAGCTATGATATTATTACGATAATATGATCTAACGATAAAATCGAGAATCATAACCCAAGGCAGAGCAAGATGCCAATTTCGCGCGCTTTACGACGCATGCTCTGTTGCCTGGGTACTAAAGTGAATCTTACAAAAGTGAATCCGCATATGTGTCGGAGTGTCGGATACGTGTTGACGGGCAAATTCGATTTGAATATGGATACGTGTGGACGTAGAAATGTGTGAATTTGGAAAGAAAAAGCTGCGGATTCAAAAGTATTCGGATACGTGTAGACGGGGCCTGAGCTATTATTATTTTTTTAGAAAAGCTGGCCTTCATTAAAAAATCAAGCTAGTCGAAGAAGTGACTATTAAAAAAAGGTTTTAAAGGCTTGTTTATAAGCTTTATGGTGGAGAGTGCACTTAGCTCATCCAGCTAGTTTACCGGCACTCCACTCAAATACTTAGAAACAAGTAATTCAAATACAACATAACAGGATTAAAGCCCCTTACTGGCAGGAGGCAACCAGTTGGTTATTTACAAGCGTGGCCGAGGATTTGAACTCGGGACGACCGAGAACAAATCCAGCAAGTCGCCAGAGAGGGACTGAAATCCGGGACTTCCGGATTGCGAGTCTGACGCGCTGATCACTCGGCCACGCTGCCTCCTAAATGGCCGCTAAGTGTAATCTTAGATATTCCACAAGTGGGAATCATTTTAGAAATATGAAAAAAGGTTAACTGTATTCCTTGGCGTTTGGGAAACGAATCGCAAACACTCTGGGATGAAATTTCCGGAATTAAAAGTTCATATTCTAGATATTGTAGCGTTTAACTTAGTATCTCACTTTCATTTCAAGGTATCACAGACGAAACGAAAAGGGGTTGAGGTATATCAGATCACTTTCACTTCAAAAAGGTTGAGGACTTTTGATGCATGTTTTGTAATATTTTGGTAGATATAGTAACGTTTAGCATTGTAAAAGTGCGCCTCAATGATTACTGATTTTTGTTATAGAATGAAGACGATGTGGACTGTGGAAATTCAGAGCACTGCAGCTCTAACGCAGTGGCCATGGGTTCGACTCCCGTTGAAGTCCTGAAATTTTTTTCGGGTTACAGTAATTTAAAATTGCATGTATGTCAAAAGTTTTATGTGTGTCACCGAAATCCCAGGTAAGTACAGTACGAAATCCCAGGCAAAGTCATTAAAGATCTATCAAATTTATTTAACTCGTCTTTCTCTACTCCAATCCTGGATCAGTCTGCCCTGAAGCTCAAGCAGGAAGAATTTTTGACCCACCCTAGCGTCTCCTCCATTACGTCACGTGACTTTAAGCTGAATAGTACGTGTCTCATATATTGAAACTCTTCTGGGTGAGATCAAATGCAATAAATCTTGCTGACCTGATAATATAATGCTCAAGATTCTTAAATTTTCAGCACCATCTATAGTAGTCACCTGACAAAGCTACTTAATCTCTGCATTAGTACTTCTACGTGGCCTACGGAGTGGAAGCTCAGCCATGTGACACCTGTATTTAAAAAAGATGATGCCACTTCAGTATCAAATTACAGACCTATCAGTGTCCTGTCTATTATACCCAAGATCTTAGAAAAAGTTATGTTTGACCAGCTTTATGACGTATTTCAACCCTTGTTTTAGTCTAACATGTCTGGATTTCTACGTGGGCATTTTTGCCGCAGTGCCCTCGGGTCAAAATGGTCGATGACTGGCGTCTGGCTCTAGATTCCAAAAAGGTTACTGGCACAATTGCAATCGACTTATTCAAAGCCTTTGTTCCAGATGTCATAATTTGCTTCTTGCAAAGCTACGTGCTTATGGTGTTGGTGAGGAGGCAATTGACTTCTTGCATTCCTACTAGTCTGGTAGAAAGCAAAGAGTGAAGGTTGTGAGGTTAGTCCACAGTGAAATTAAATCTCGATAAGGTTATGTATTTAACCACTAACCCTCTCAAAGAAAATACTCGTGTTGATTCACTAAGAATGGATGGAATTGAAGCATTGTACTCTGTGTTGACTTGTGATTGCGCCGTCAGCTAAATAATAAATGATGGCATAACTTTCTTTGCACGTCCGATACAAGATTGAGGAATAGTTAATATATTTTACTATAAGCTACTTGTAGGGGCGCGTTCGATTAATCCGCTATAAGAATGAAAAGCCAGCGTCCCGGCATTGATCTGGCTCCTGAGAATTAACACCATCTCTAGCATCAGGGGTTTCTTTGTAATTGAGGTACCTCACACGGGATTTATAAATTCCCCAACCTTGCAGTAAACCACCCTATGCATGCTTTTAATATAAAAAACGATTCTGATTAATAGTGACCCCATCGTTTCTGGTTTCACCGCTCACAGTCGTCTGATAACAGTGGTTATGAAGATGATGGACTTACTGAGGAGGAATTCAAGGAAACAGAGGGATATAAGTTGACAATGAAGTGCTTGGACGCATTGCTTGGCAGGCGACTCAATTAACATGCTAGCGATGGACTGCTCTGAGGACTCCAAACGCTACGCCCTTTTTATGTACTTTTTCGAGTCCTAGCTTTAGCCAAACGTTTTCTACATAGAGGCCTTTGGCACCAAAAGTTTTTAAATAAAGCACACTTATTTCTTGCTCTGATTGCTATTTATTAGACTTTCAATTTGTGTCATTATATATTCCTCATCTTCATAGCATAATTGGGTAAAAAGTAGCCGCTGAGCAGATTCCTACGGTGGGACTGTCATATGATGATGATGTTTGTCGTCTCGCTTAGGGGTCGAAATTGCAGTTTTTGGTCTCATTTAGGGTGTTCAGGACCAATAGAGGTATTAGTTAGGGTTGAAGGCAAAGAAACCAAACTGAGATGAAGACCGCAGCATTGGTTGTCATCTCTAGAATTTAAAGATGTCATAGCTCTTACTTGCGGTTTCCTGTTCTTGTACTATCAAAATGAAGCCTGGGCCACGCAGGCTACCTTCTAGCGTTCTAGTCGAGATTTTGTGGTTTTCATCATTAACATGCAATTACCAGCATATCCGAAAAACTTTTTCCAATCTCTTTTTTTCGTGCTATGGGAAAGTCAATTTAATATGTCAAGGGGGGCGGATGAAGATATTGAAACTAAAAGCTTGAAATTTTAGCAGCCCCCCTTATTAGCTAATCATTTTTTAAGAAGCATCCTCCATGGTACTCGAAAATATTTCAGAACCTCCCGCC